ATGATTCAATTTGTAGACCCATTTGCTGCCAATGAGAGTCTTTTCTGGTGGTAAAGTTGTAAGAACCCAGGTTTTATTCTTCAAAAGAGCTTCATACTCTTTAAACATAGCCTCTTTCCATTTGGGATTTGACAGTGCTTCATAGTCATTTACAGGTTCTCTATGCTCCAACTTGCAGATAGCTTTTGGTTTGTGAATACCAACTTTGGATCTTGTGATCATTGAGTGGCCACTTGTTTTCTCAACAACATGCTCAATAGGAGAATAAGTGGAATCATCAGTATGAAAATCACTCTCTATTGGTAAATCAATATATAAGTGTCCTTGAAGGTTTGGTGTGTTTTGATGAGATGAAGGAGGGCTATTTGACTGAGTAGTAGGTGAAGAAGAAGTTGAAGAGTTCTCAAGAGAATGCGCAGAAGGGTTATCAGTATTAGCAAGATTTTGGTTTTCAAGGTTCTTTATGAAAGGCATGGAGGCAATGTTGTCATCATGATGTGTTATGTTTCTGGTCTCTGTTGGTTTGGTGTATGGAAACTGAGTTTCATTAAAGATTACATGTCTGGTGAGAATGATCTTTTTGTTAGGTAATAACACTCTATGTCCTTTGTGTTTGCTGTTGTAGCCAAGGAAAGTGCTGGGAAGGCTTTTGAAATCAAGTTTGTGAGTATTGTAAGGTTTCATCATGGGGTAGCAAAGGCATCCAAAGGTTTTAAGAAAAGAGTAGTCAGGTTTCTTGTCATTGAGAACTTCAATGGGTGATTTAAAATTGAGAACTTTACTAGGAGTTCTATTTATAAGGTAGGCTGCACTACAAACAACATCATCCCAATGATGTGTTGGGAGATTAGACTGAGCAAGGAGGGATAAGGCTACTTGAATGAGATGTCTGTGCTTTCTTTCAGCTATCCCATTTTGCTCAGGAGTGTAGGGATAAGAAACTTGGTGTTTAATCCCATTATCAGAAAGGAATTTGGTCAAGGCTGTAAATTCTCCCCCCTATCACTTTGAAACACTTTGATCTTCCTAGCAAACTGAGTTTCTATAAAGTTTTAAAGTGGATGAAGGCAGCATGAGTATCTGATTTATGTTTTAAGAGGTAAACTCATGTGTTTCTGCTGGCATAATCAATGAAAGATACATAGTAAGTGAATCCTTGAAAGGATTTTATAGGTGCTGGCCCCCAAAGGCCTGAGTGAATAAACTCAACTGGTTTGAAATCTTTAATTTGAGAATCTAAAAATGGAAGCTTATGCATTTTGGATTTCATGCAAGCAGAACATAAAGAAACATTCTCACTGTCATTAAAAGGAACATTACAATCATTAAAAGATTTCCTAACAACATCCAAGTTTGCATGACCAAATCTGGTATGCCAAACATCTAGGCTAGTCTTATTTTTAACTTCAGCTGAAAGAAGGTTGAATTTATGGTTCAGAGGTTGTTGATGAATGTCCTTGGGTTCAGAGGTTTTGGTTTGAAGAGAGAAGCTGTAGAGGACATCTTTAACTGATCCCTTGAGCAGCACTTCCTTTGAAACTTGATCCTTGACAAGACAAAGTGAGGGGTGAAATTCAAAGAACACTCTATTATCTTTAGCAAACTGAGACACACTAATGAGGTTCTTGGTGATATTAGGGACATGAAGGAGGCTCTTAAGGAGAAATTTTTTATTTTCAGGAGACACTACATATGATTCACCAAAATGAGAGATTTTTATACCTGTTCCATTGCCTAAGTGGATCCTCTCATCTCCTGTGTATTCAGTGAATAGACTTAGATTAGCCAAGTCATGTGTCACATGGTTTGTGGCTCCTGATTCTGGGTACCAAAATTCAGATGGAGCTCCTCCATTGTTGTTGACATCAGTGAGGTTGATGGTTCCTCCTCCTCCATACTGATTTCTAGAAGATTGCCCTTGAAAAGTGTTGTTGTTGGAGAATTGTTTGAAGGTAAAGTTGAGATCACATCTATAATAACACTTCTCAGCAGTGTGGTTATTATAGTGATATAATTGACATCTAGCTCTTCCCTCATTTCTACCCCATCTTCCTCTAAAGGGGCCTCCTCTACCATTTATGCCTCCTCTTGGGCTAAAGCCTTGGCCTCTGCCTCATTGAGAAGGATAATTTCCTCCTCTGAAACCACCTCTCTTGTTGGTGAAGTTTACTGAAAATTGGTTGTTTTCCTCAGAGTTTGTTCCACCTTCCATTGACTCCAATCTGTTTTCAAAGCTGAGAAGAAGAGAGTGACCTCTCTAAGTTTTGGTGTGTCAGATCTGGATAAAATGGAGACAATTGTTGGGTTGTAATCATTTCCTAAGCCAGCTAGCACATGTGATACTTGATCTTCTTCATTAATTCTTTGCCCACAAGCTGCCAACAAATCACAACAAGACTTGATGTTGTTGAGGTAGTCTTTCATGGAAGAAATCCCCTTTTTGTTGTCTGGAGTTTCAGCTTGTACTGCATGGTCTTGGCTGCATTTTGGCTGGCAAAAGAAGTCTCAAATGCTTCCCAGATCTCTTTGGAAGTGGTGAGTCCAACGGTGGATATGAGGATGGATTCAGTGAGAGAAGATAAAAGCCAGGAGGCCAAAAGCTGATCTTCCTTCATCCATGAAATGAAAGTTGGGTTGATTCTAGGGGTGTCTGCATCTGGATCTGTGATGGTTTGATGTGGAACAGGTTGGCTTCCATCGAGAAATCCCTCAAGTCCATGGCCTCTAACTGCTGCTAGAACTTGTTGCCTCCAGATAAGGTAATTTGAATCTGAAAGTTTGATGCTAATGAGCTGGCTTTGAGGTCGAATAGCAATATCATGATTTTGGGTGGCCATGGTTTGATTTGCTCAAATAGAAAAAAAAAAAAAAGGATCTGAAAATGGATTATCAGAGCATGGTTTGGCTAACCAGCTCTGATACCATAACAGGAAAAATCAACACTCATCTTTCTTAGTTATAGATCAAGAAAAAGAAAGAAGGATCACAGTAGCTTTGCTGAGAATAGGGTTGCAGTGTTTAATGCTCATTGAAAGCTGCTTACACGGTTTCCTCCAAATATATACAAGGCTTGGTAAATCTTAGCACTTCATTTCAAACTAAAGTATAGCTAGATAAGTGACACCTAGCACTAACAGATGAGAATGTGTAACAAACAAAATGTACTAGCTAAAGGTGTGAGCTCTCTCTCTCTCTCTTGTCCTTTCTGGCTCTATTTCCACGTGCATGATCAGCTGATGTGTGATTCTCTGTGGCAGTAAGGTCATTATTTGGCCATGCTGATGTGTGAACTTCTCTAACATGAGGCTTTAGATTTAAGTAGCTCAACTGGATTTTCAGTAGTATATATACTGACCTATGTCAATTCAATTTCTAAAGGTTCAAGTTGGTTTGTATATTCTTTTATATGTTGTATATGCCTCATGAACCCAATTACCAACTTTACGAACCAGTTTCAAGGACTTGCAAAGTGTCGAGACAGTTTTACCGACGTAAACATTCTGACGCTCAAATTATAATTAGTTTTTAAACCCAAAATCTCGGTAATTTTGCTAAGCACTAAGCATAGGTTCAAGCCTGCTATTGAAATTATATAATCGTATTCGTAGATATTACATTTTTTAAATTATCTAAGTTACCAATATCTTCGAAATCTAAATAAGATCATCCAAAATATCCACTCAATTTCCTTTCCATGTAGAGAATATCTTTTTTACCTTACAATGTGCTATTTTGGTAACCATTTCGGTCAATTCTTCAAACCCTACTTTCTACTAGTACTAGCTCGGGTATAGTCACACATTTGAGGATCCTAACCCTTAACTCAGCATACATTTCATCTTGTGCATACTCTCGAGCAGGTCGATCCAGATTTTTCTCGTCCGTAGAATTAATGAACCGAGCTACTATCTCTATCACCCGAATTGTATATAAACTGAATTGTATATACGAAATGTCCTAATAATCAAAGATAATATCTTTTCTTTTCCTTCGAGCTAAAAGAAGATGATTAATTCCAAATACATTTTAAAAGAACAACTAAGATATGGAAAGTTAAAATGAGAAGACCTTCTCTTAATTTCTTTTCAAGCATTAGTTGCATATTAACTATTTCAAGAAACAAAAATAAAGTAAATAAATATTATTTTTTATTAATGTCAAATTCGATTTTCTTACACTAGCCCTTAGCTCGCATATATTTCATCTTGTGCATACTTTCGTACATGTCGATCCGAATTCTTCCCGTCCTTGGAAATCATGAACCGATCGAGCTACTAACTCTACCACCCCAATTGTATATAAACCGAATTTCCCAAACCGTTTCAAGGCTATATAAAACCTCACACTAGCACCTTTTGGAACACTCGAGTACAAATTTCGGGAGATGCTACGGTCCCGAATCATTCTATCGGTGTTTGTAACCGTTTAGATTAACTATCCTCAACGGTCACATGATGATATAACCGTTACAAACTCCAACAAAATGATTTCGTATCGAGTCCGTAGCATTTTCTACAAATCTAAAAAAAAAAAGAATAGAGAGATGCTACGGTCCCGTTACGGTACCATCCCGTCGGTTGTTTTAACCGTTAGATCTACGTGTAGTTAGATAAGATCGATGATCCAACGGTTAAAATACCCGACGGGATGGTACCGTAACGGGATGGTAACATTTCCCAAAAGAATATCCTCATGCTCATGAGGTGTATATCCTCATCCTCCTTTGGCTGCCACCTGACCCGACCTCGTGCGCAAATTCACACATTCTTAGCCATTTTCAAACATGCCTTTTTTTTTTTTTTATTTTCTCAAACAAAAGTCGAAAAAACGGACACGATAAAATCAACATAAATTTCTCACTTTGCCAAGTATCAATCCACACTCTCCACCCATAGACACGTGTTGCCACCCTTCCTCCTCCCTCTCTCTATATATACTGACTCTCTTACTCTCACTCAACATTAATCCACAAACAATACAAAGAAAAAATAAGCTCACAAATGTCGAAATCCATGGAGAGTTGTCGAAAAGGCGAGGAGAAGAACGCCGCCGCGAGGTCGTCTCGACCGAGGCTCGCTCAAGCGAGCTCGCGAAAAGGTTGCATGCGGGGGAAAGGCGGCCCCGAGAACGCATCTTGCACTTACAAGGGTGTCCGCCAGCGCACGTGGGGAAAATGGGTGGCCGAGATTCGCGAGCCCAACCGTGGGTCTCGCGTCTGGCTCGGCACCTTCGAAACCTCCCACGAGGCGGCTATGGCCTACGACACCGCAGCCCGACGCCTCTACGGACCCGAGGCCAAGGTTAACCTCCCCCACCTCCTCGACCAGGCCCAAGCCGAGACTCAGACATTATTACAGGGACCTGTGAAGGCCGAGGTCCAGGAAATCACAATCGATGATTTCCTAGGCCCATTAGAGCCTACTAAGGAGGAAAGGCCCATTAGTGAGATTGGGCCGATGGCGGAGAGTACTGGGTATAACTACAACGGAGAGTACGTCAGTGCTAGCGGGATTTTGCAGGAGCTGAACGAGAGCTTGCCGGAGGTGGACGACTCGTCCCTCTGGGCCGAGGCAGCCAAGGATACCTCGTTGAGGATCGTGCACGAGCCAGAGGCATTTGCGTCCAGCTTGGAGTACTACGGGAAGGACAGTTATGGAACGCCCTTCCCGTGGTACTACTAAGCTAAGTTTGAGTAAAATAATTATGTGTATATGAAAGGATCGTATGGGAAAATAAAGCATGCAAAACGTGGAAAGTGGTGTGAGTTCCACGTGCTGCGTGGGTGACGTGTATAGTGACGTGTATAGTGGAAGTATATATATGTATAGGTATTTGGGTATAGAATACATTATAGTATATATGGGTGTCGTCTTTTGTACATTAGTGATTATATAAACCATTGTACTTCTCTTTTATTTTATTTTTATTTTATTTTTTATTTTGTTTTTATGTGTAGTATAGTATATGGTATTTGAGGTATGCATGTATCATGATTAAAGAGTCGTGTATATTTTATATAGCAACTTATGAAGTTGTTACTTTATATTTTTGCAACATTTTATTTTTTATTTTTCGAAAAGATTGTGTGTATTATTGTGAAAAATGCACGTACGTCGTGATGTCATCCTTTTTCTTGTCTTTATAATGTATATTAAATTATTAATATATGGACTCCGAATAATATATCATATTGTTAATTCAATTAAATTAGATTGCGTATTCATGGGCATGGATGAGGATTGACTTTTTTGACGATAGAGTAGCCCAATTTTGGGCATATACTGCACGAATACAGCTTCTTGCAAGGAAAATAAAGAAAATATGAATGTACACTTTTCTTTATGAATGTACACTTGTGAAAATAAAAATAAAGGGAGATGCTAGGGTCCCGTTACGGAACCATTCCGTCGAAGTTTGTAACCGTTAAGATCAACTATCCCTGATGGTTACAGATAATCTAACGATTACAAACTCCAACAGAATTACGGAATCATTCTGTCGAAGTTTGTAACCGTTAAGATCAACTATCCCTGATGATTACTTGATAATCTAACGATTACAAACCCCATCAAAATGATTCCGTAACGAAAACCTGACATTTTCGAAAAAGAAAATAAAAGCTGGGTGATTTTTATTTCAGTGTCAAAGGATGAGAACAAGTAATAACAGATGGATTCCCCAAGTTGTCTTGGCACTACTTGACGTGTCAAGCGTGTGGACATGCCAAATGTACTATTTTAAATTTGGATAACTGTAACAATTTAGAGCATGTTTATACTTTGTATACAAAAATTTTTAGTTAAAACCTGGATTTTTTTGGTTTACTAGAGTTAATTTGAAAAAAGATTGTATGGTTAGTTGTTAGTGTAATTTGAATAAGTAGGAGAGATATGATATGATGTGATAGTTAGTTAAAATTATGTGAGTGAATGAATAGTGCGATTAAAGTATATGTGATGTGTAAGAATGATAGAATAATATTATTTAATTATATTAATAATATTGAGGATATTAAAGTTAAGTTAAAGTTTGAGTGAATTTTTTTGTACACAAACATGTTCACTGATTTGTTATGCGTAGAACACGAGTTTTGCATTTGGGATCAGATTACTATTATTATAACTTTTGCATTTCGGATCAAATTACTACTAGTACTAATATCTATGTACAACATGAGTGTTGAGTTAATGAATAGTAGTATATGTGTAAAGTTATTTATGTCTAATATCAAACCTAACTCTAGAGTAAAAAAATATGAAAACAACATCACGAAACATAGATTTTCGCCATGTCAGCATCCAAAGCGTGAGAATATGCCACCTAAATTCAACACGTTTTGAATTAATATATATGGAGGGATTATATTATGTTTTGTTTCTGAAAGCGAAAAATCGGTTCTGATTCAACTTATTATTAGCATAATGTAAAATGATTCAGGGTATTATATATAACTAGTACAGTACCCGTGCGATGCACGGGAGTTTATTATCTCCGTCCCTTTTAAAAAGCAAATCTCTCATACAGTTCAAACTAACAGAAACATCATGTCATTAATAATAAAAAGTTTAAGAAAATAAATAAAAAATAATCTATATATTATTGAACACTTTTCTTATATACAACGTTCATGGTTTGATTCGTTGACACATCATCATCGCCACAAATTAAGATTTTCAAACCATTTCTGTTTGCAACACGGGAGACAACAACATACAACTGACCATGACTAAACACTGGTTTCTTAGGAGAAAAATAATTCATGAATAAACAACAAGTACGTTAATGTAATTTATACAAATATAACATATAAATAATTATATATTTTCAATTTGACAATCTTGGTTTGACCATGGATAATGATCCTCCATTTTCTTATAGTCGATTTGTAGATGTCAATATAGCTTTCAACTTGATAGTTTGTCAAGACATACTTACCACATTTCTTCAATATCACCGACGAATTTTTGGATATTCACAGGTCGAATTATGCCAGTAATTCGTAATCTCTAAGACAATACATATTAAATTATTAAATAATTTAATAAGCACAATAAAATAACTTTAAATTTAAATTAAATACAGTATGAATGTGTGAACATATTACCTCCGAATCGTGAAAGATAATCTCTAGAAAATTCCGGTAATTACGTACGTCTTCAACTCGTTGGAACATCCTAATTATGTGTAGCTTGATTGGTGACTTATTGGATCTGTGGATATCCTGATGACTCCAAAATTCAAAGGCACGTTGAGATGATGTTGAAAAGCTTCGTAAAAAAAGTTGTAGTGCGGGATGTGTATGATGTAGAATATATGTTGTTCAAGTTTGTTAATATTTATATAGTAATGATTAACTTTACGATTCTTGTGGATTTTTATGGATGTTTACGGATTTATTGCTTGTACTAATCTTCTTAAGGGACAATACTCGATCTATTTTATTATGAATATCACCGTCTATTCCAATCGGATATCTTTAATATAATAATGATTAGTTGGCAAAATAAAAGATAATTCTTATCTCTTAATATATGGCATAAAATCGATAAGACAATTTGGTAAGCCTCACTATGCGATTTTGTAGCTTTTTTTTGTTATAAAAAATGAGATGTTTTATATAATAATGATTAGTTGGCAAAATAAAAGATAATTCTTATCTCTTAATATATGGCAAAATATCGGTAAGAGAATTTGGTAAGCCGATTTATGCGATTTTATAGCTTTTTTGTTATTAAAATTAGATGTTTTTGGAAAAATAAAAAGGAATCAGCATAAAAACAGAATCAACTAAAAAATCAGCATAATATGAGAGAAATCATCATAATTAGGTAACAAAATCCGAAAATTCTTGGAAGGCAATGCACATGCGAACACAAAATTTGCACAGAATCAGCTAAAAATAGTTTAAAATTACTTAATGGAAGGATTGATTTATGATATTCCGTACTTTTATGTTAATTAATAATTAATAATTAATTTAATTTGTGGGACCTTCTTGGTTATTACCTAAAGTAGTAATTATTACTTAAAGTAGTAAGTCAAAGGATTATTTTTTGAAGTCAAACTTACTTTTTTTGTATTTTTCCAACAATCTCTTTATATGATTATAGATTATAGATTTTTGCATTTGGGTTCGAATTACTATTAAATTATGTTTCCTTTTTAAAAGCGAAAAATCGATTCTGATTCAACCTATAGCTAGCGTAATGTAGAGTGATTTTAGGGCCCAAATTCCATTGTTTGTGATGTAGGAAAACGTACGAGTAGGAAGGATAAACGAGTAAACGAGATATTCTCTCGTAGAACACGCAAAACTCATAATATCTAATTTTTTTTCATTTCAATAATCAACTCCGCAAAATAAACTAGAGGGAGTCTTTTATATAAGACCCCTAATTCTAAACTTAACTTAATCGCCAAGAAAGTTAAACCTAACTTAATCACCAAGAAAGCTACTAGATATTTAAATACTAAAATAATAATAATAGCAATAATAATAATAATAATAATAATAATAATAATAATAATAATAAACATAATTAGTCTGCATCGTTCTCCCCCGATTGAGCAGGATTCGTCCTCGAATCCGACACGTCCCCACTGGAGACATCCCCGTGACAGGAATAGCCCGGACGCTTCCTATTTGTCTTATTTTTGTTGCGTTTTTCTTAGTTATTTTTTTTTCTTTATTTTCCCTCCGTTTTAGGACTTTTTTGTTGATTTTTAGTTCGGTTCTCCATTTATTGTGTGTTTTGCTTTATTTTAGTCTTCTTTGCATTTCTCGTGTATTTTTTCGATTTTTCTTTGTCTTTGATGTGCAG